CCATAATGAAAAAGTATAACAATATGAAAACAAAAATTTCCTTAGTTAAAAGAAGAACTGAATTATTTTTTTTACAGTGAATGAGTAAAAAAACAACAACAACAACAAAAAACCTAACAATAATTTGAAAACAAAGATTTCCTGTTCTAAAAAGAAACATGAAAAAAAAACACACAAAAAACAACTCCACAAACTAACCAGTGAATCGAAACAAAACAGCTAACAACAACTTGAAAAAAAAATTAAAGAGACGAATTGAAGGGTAAAAAAAAAGAAGAAAAAATCTTCTCCTACCTGTCGTTTTCACTCCGTGCACGCTCTTGTGCATGGCTGCCATCGTGGGGGAAACCTGGCCAATTAAGGTGAGGTGAGAGGGCGCCAGACGGCGGGACAAGAGGCCAAATAGGCTTTTCCTTTTTAGCGCTGTTTTCTCCTTTTGGGTTTCTTTTCGGCCGAAGCGCCGGTTATTATAACTTCTTTTTCTTCTTTTCTTTTGAAGTTCCCTCTCTTCTGCTTCTGCTCTCACGCTGATGAGTCTGGTCGTCTGCTGCTGGTGTCACGTGACCTCATAGGTGAGTCACATGGCGCGAACCGTTGGGATAGCCGGTGACGATAGCGATGATGAATGGTATCCCTTGGGCTGGCGGGCTGCCGGTAGTGGCTGGCACTTTCTGACACCTATCGATCACACCGCTCAATCTGGGGACGACATGATTAGATAACCGAATAAAGGTAATGATAGAGTCATGATTACAATCACCATAACTGTGGAAGAGTATAAAAAGGAAAGACTTTGATTATATTTCGACACATTTATGGCAGTTTTTTTGGGGTGATTTTTTTTAAAATTTTACCACACCAGGGCACACACTCCAACTACCCACCTTTACCAGTTGTAAGTTTCTTCTAAGTAACGACAATCAGAAAAAGACGCTGGGAACAAAAAGAAACACGAAAAGGACTGTGCCATATAAAAGCGAACAGCATTGTCTCTATAAGCGGATTCAAGCCTCTATAATTAATTCATATTTGTGCCCCCCCCCCCCCACTCCCATGCGAAATTTTTTTCGATTTTTTTGGGGGGGTTCTACCAGTATCCCGAAATAGGGAATTTTATTTGCGAAGGCACGGGCGGGCAGGCGGGCTCCAGGGACAAAAATTGCATGACAGTGCACGGTGGTGAAGCCAATACATTGAAAGGCATAGGAATTTACGAGCCTTGGGGAAAAACAGAATGAGACGAGGCAATGGGTGAGAGTAGATTGTGTGTGTGTGTGTGTGTGTGTGTGTGTGTGTGTG